CTACTTGAGCATGTAAATTTTAATAACCACCGATTTTTATGTTTGCCTGAGTGTTTTATCCAATTTCACCTTTCTTGGCCAGTTCAAATGATCATACTAATTCTTCCTGACTGGTCTGAGTAGTGCTTTTTGGAACAGCCAGTCAAATAAGGGACAATCCATGAAGTTCATGATGAATCCAAGAAAGAGCAGGGGGAAATCTATGCTGTACTTCAGGAGGAGTGCTTAACCCTTGCGAAAGTGTGACATACATTCTGAGGGAACCTTGAAATACACAAAAAGGTCCTGAACAAGAAACAAAAATGATTTGTGGTAGGTACTTTGGTGGCAAAGTATTATAAAGCCTTTCCGGCTGGTCCAAAGCCTAGCTTTTACTAGCGTTTACTTCCGTGTTCGGATGCTGAGGTGCAGAAGGGACTGATTCTCCTGCAACGATGCGTATTATCTGCTTTGTCACTGAGTCACAGTGTGCTTCTTTTTAAGCACTTGGCAGAGTTCGACATACTGCGAGGTCTCCGTGTGAGTGGCCGGACTGTGGCGCAATTTTTAGCGCTGGGGGAATCTGAGGATGAGGTGGTGTTTCGGTATTTGCGAAGCCTAAAGCTGGGAGCAGGTGACCCTGAGGCTGCTTCTAGCTCTCTTCAGTTTCAGGGAACATGGTCGATTTGGTTGATCAGCAGCCATTCACTACTCTTACAGAGGTACTGTGCTTCTTCTATACATTTCTTTCAACATGTTTGCATTGTTATGCTCTGTTGTGCATCACGCCCGCACCATCATGCATCCGGGGAGAGGTACATGTGCGTGTGTGTTGCAGCTCTGCGAGGTTTATTTACCGACAAACTTAAATTGGTTTAACATCATTCTCTCTCCCTGGAGCTCTGAGAACTGTTTTTGAGAGAGCTGCTATCAGTCTCCAAACAGAGTATTATCCTTAGCAGCAGCCTCTCCATCTTATAGTTCCTCGGATTTCAGGGATGCCTTTTGGATTAAACAGGTCCTGGGGTGGATGAGCCAGGGATGCTTGACTTCGTGATATTTTGCAAACATCACGCTGAAGCTGGGTGCCAACTCTCTTCCATTTTCCTTTGCAATCTGACCATAGGAAGTGCACATTTGAATTGGGAAAAGGATGTGTTTCTATGTACATTTTTTCAAAAGTGTGTATTTCCCCACTGTGGGCTATAGTGTGAAAATGAGTTTTTGTTGAAAAATGCACCTTTCTAAGCATTCTCCCCCCTCCCAAAAAAAAAAACAACATTTATCTAATGTGATTGCAAGTTCAGGGATGTGTGAACCTTTTCTGGAAAAAAGTGCACGTCCACTCGTGTTTGGGGCTGTGAATGGGGAAAGTTCTGATGATTTGTGAATGGAAATGAAATTCTTGCGGGTACCTAACTGGGTACCAAAAATTCTGGGTACCAGAAATCCTCATGGGTACCAAAACCATTTAAATTCGTAGCAAAGACATGTCTGTTGAAAGAAAAAGTGATCCGTGGTTTGGCATGATTATGGAGAGTACAAAAGTGAGAGGAAATGAGCGGGGTTAGCCCATTCCAAAGTGTGTTGTCAATATGCCCCAGCCTGGCACCCTGAAATGGTTTGGGTTTCATCTCTCCCCTGGCAGTGTGGTCAGGGATGTGTGTGGGGGGTCATTTAGAACATTTGAAGGGCACCAGGCTGGGGAAGGCGTTTCAACCCCAAGAGCCTATCCAATCAAGGCACCTTTCTGTAGGTTCAAGGATGTTTGGGAGGAGATGAACTCTTGTGTGTCAAAGGGGATATACAATTTATTGACTATAGCAATTAAATTTAGAAGCACAAGAGAAACAAGCAAAAGAACGCTTACCTCCCTCCGGCTTTGTTGGTTCCCTGAATATGGCATGGCCCCCAAAGTTGAATAACATGCCCATTCATTTCCAGACATGGGTTTTATAAAGTTCCTCTCTCTGAGTTTTTCAGAATTTCCAACCCTCCTTTCTGGTGCACAGTTTCCTTCTCACAGCAAAAAGAGCTCTTATCTACAGAATGGTTGGGGGAAACAGCTCCCAGCCAATTATCTCTACTACTATTCCTAAAGAAGCTGAAGTCATAAGGCTTTGGCACGGCGGCAAGAAACTTCCTGGCTTTTGGACACTGGGAACGTCCACTGCATTACCTGTTGAAGCTTCTTCTGGTTGAGTCCATCCGATGCAAAGGCTAACCTGTGTGCTGACAGTGCATTGATTAATCTTCGTCTGTGGCATCAGATGGGGGCACCCATGGTTCCTGCAAAGGGTTGCCTGTGAGAAAACCACTCATGGTTCAGGAACAGCAAATCCGTGAGATGTGAGCTTGTAAGACTCTTCTTATTCACCCCGGAGTTCAGTTCATCTCATTCCCAATGTTGAGCTTTCGACCCTCTTTTTGGACTGAAAAAATGTGCATTTCAAATGTGCATAGACTAATGTGTAAAAGCTATGACTGGGGGATTATGGGAGTTGGAGTCTAATGCATCTGGATGCCCGGATGGGGAGGACCGATCCAGAAGTGTTCCCCCATTCAGCACTGGGTCGCATGTTCAACTTCCCTGTGAAACTGACCAACTAACCAAATGAAATTCAGATTTAAGTATACCTGTTCCAAGAGCAGTCACACATTGAATTGATATGTGGCAATCAGAACAGTTCCTTGTTCACATCAGCATCAAGAAACAGTTTTCTCTCCGAAAAGCATTGCAGTATTTGATCAAAATTAAGGAAGAGGCTCTAGAAATCATCACTTCCGCTCATCAGAGCTGGCTATCTGAAAAAAAGTCATCGAGACAATTTAGTGGTACCCAAAGGGTGGGGGGTGATAGTGCAGTATAACACAAGTGTGCCTTGGGGCACGATGCCTCCACTTCATGGGCATTATGAATATGGCTAGGAAAACACTTGCTTTGGTTGCATTATTGGTTACTCCTTCCAAATTTACAGGTGAACAATACCTTTATGAGGACCAAGGATGAAATTGGGCAAAGGACCACCAATTGACCTTTCTAAGAAAAGTACTCGGGCTTCTGACCCCCGTCTTGATGTTGGCCAATTCATGACTTCAGGGAGGGAAAAAGTCCAGGTAGATCTGGGAGACATATTTGTTTAGCTTGGCCTATAATTGACTTCACAATTTGGTATGTGTTGTTTTCTGCTTTTAAGGGTAAATTCTGTTTTTTTAGCTGTTACTTTTTTTTTTTTTTTGCATTTGGGGGTTCTGCAGCATTTTAGGGTTTGCTCTAAAAGTCAGCTTGCGAATCGCCAAAATAAATATTAAATACATCCCTTCTGGCTGCCTTTTTCTGCACTGTTTCCAGCTCAATGGTCTCCTTTTTAATGGGCTCACAGTTATTCCTGGTGACTGATACTTTCGTCTGGTGTCTTTCCGCAACATTTTGGGAGGATGCCATCCAATTAGGAAACCGTTTGCTAAGTATCGTACTCTTTCTCCTGCTACCTCTGATGAGCTAATCATAACTCATTTCCTGTGTCGATAACAACCAAGTGATTAAGATGATAATTAGCCACATGTCTACCGCCGATAGCCATGCTGTTCCCACCTCCAGACCCGACTGTATGGAAGACACACTTCCCAAGCTGTCTTGCCAGTGTGATACAAGAGCAGACAAGATTTGGAAGGCTGTCTGGCTTAGGATATGGCATGGCAGCTCACAGTAAAGAATTTGCTCGCAAATTTTGGGTTTTCTTCCATGGGAAAGCTGCTAGGCGAATCCCTTTAAGACCGCCTGGGAAGTTAATTCAGCCTTGAAGATGCTTTTGGGGCAAGCTCCAGTGATCAGCGTGGCCAAAGGCAGAAGGGGGTGAGAACAAAATGCCACGAACGTTGCATATTTTAGCTTAAAGCAAACTACCCATCACGCTAAAAGAAATGTGGAAAAAGGGAAGAAGAGCTCTTAGAAGAGGCATTTCAGCCTTTTAAAATGTGCGAAAAATGGCACAACAGCCCGGACATCCCCAAATGGGTGGTGATTTGGGGAAGGGGGGTAGCCCTCTGGGGACTTTAGGCTGGTCGGATTTGGCCCATGGCCGTGATGTTTGTCACCCCAGCTCTAAGAGTTCAGAAGTCGAGTCCCACCAAAATCACATTGCTGGGCAAAGGTACTGGGTGAAATGCAAGCGGTCGTTTATCAATGGGCAGCTGACTGCACTGAGCTCACACGGTCGTCTCAGTTTTCTATCTATATTTCTTGCCCTGGTAGTAAGGAAATTCCTACCACGGCTGTTTTGTTGGATTGCTGGATCCCAGATTGCTGGGATCCCAAATGTCCTTGGGCGAGCTTGCTTTGGAGAGGAGCCGAAGCTCGGTGGTAGGGACCTGCCTGGTGTCAGAAGTGCCCAGGTCCAGTCTCTGGCATCACCGTTCAAAGAGAACCCGGTAGCGAGGGATGGGAGAGACCTTCTCGGCCTGAGTTCTGAAAGAGCAGCTGTGGGGCTGAGCAAAAGGTACTGGCCTTGATGGGCAGCAGTCTGACCTTCCTAGGTAGCCACTTAAATGCTGTACAGCACCAGAGGTCTTTAGCAATTGGGCACCAAAAGAATAAAATTAATTGTAGGCATCTCCACTTAGCCTTGAAATTCCCTCGGTGAGTTTGGGCCAGTCCCTGACTCTCAGCCTAACCTACCTCACAGGGGTGTTGTGAGGATAAAACAGGGAGGGGGAGGTTTATGCAAGCCCCTTGGGTTCCCTGCAAGAGGAAAAGAGGTGAGGCTATATATGTCACCGTCATCATCTCAGGTTTTCAAGCTCCCCAGGAGACTATCCAGAAGCAGAAATACTTATGCAGAAATTCAGCCCTGTAAAAACCAAACCAGCAATGTTTGTAGCTGCATTCCATGAGAGGTTGTTGCCCCCGAAAATCCACCCCAAGTTTTGCACATGGACTTCAGCAAATACAGATTGGTTCAGGAGCTTCATGGTGGAGAGAGAGGAAAACAAGCTTTCTCATCCTTCTTTCCTCCCTGCAGGAAGAATGCAAACAGATCCTGGCCTGGCAAAAATCCAATTCGCAGTCAGATTCCCATGATGATGAGATTTCTCCGCCGCCTCCAAATCCAGTGGTCAAGGCCCGGCACAGAAGGGGAGGCGTCAGTGCTGAGGTGTACACCGAGGAAGACGCTGTTTCTTACGTCAGGAAGGTAACATTCTGCACGATCCTCGGCTTGGGCATGGGCCTTTAAATGGCTTGTGGATGCACACAGCCGCTTTTGTGCTGGGACTCAGGAGTGTTGCCACATCTCCTGATTGTTGTCTCTGTTTATCTAGTGTAAATTTTGCCCCACCCCAGCAGAAAATGCCCCTCCAAACAGCATGAAAGAAATGCAAAACTGAGAAAATCCCGCTTGTGGTCCAAGATCTGTGGCCCAAGGACCAAGCATGTGGAGCAAAACTGATTGTCAGGAGCAAAATCTAGGAGAGACAAGTGTTGAGGTTGTCTGTGTGCGAATGACAGTGTGGGTCTGGGTCCCTATTCTGCTGGCTTCTGTGTTGCCCCCTCCTCTGGCATGATCCATCCCACCTCACCCACCTGCTCATTAGTTATTAGAGTTTCTTTTTTTTAAAGATCTCGGAGTAGCTCCATCATTCTCCTGCTCCTGCTCTCAATTTTATCCCCACAACATCCCTGTGAGGCAGGTTGGGTTGAGAGCCTGCGACTGGCCCAGAGTCACCCAGTTGGCTCCATGGCCAAGCGGGGACTCGAACCCAGGTCTCCTGAGTCCCAGGCATGTGCTCTTAACCCCTACACTGCCCTGGCTCTATTTAATTTTCTCCATGCAGGGAGAGGGATGGAACTCCTTCCTATTTTTATTTTATCGTATTAATCTTTTGTAAACCATCCCGAGACGTCTGTGATGGGACGGTATAGAAAAAATTTAAATAAATAAGTAAACAAGCCCCATCTCTCTCTCTCTCTCTCTCTCTGGAGGGAGGAAGGGACTCAGCAGGCTCTTGGAAGACGACCTCTGCAAGGGTTTAAGCAGAGTCACATTGGCAAACACCCAGGATGCAAAAGCAAGCTGCATGATGAATGGAGCTCTCTGCTTAGAATGCATCTACAAAAAGGAATGTTTTATGAGGCCCTGCCAGCTTTTTAATTATTCCCTAGGCAGCTGTTCTTAATATTCCCATTAGATATTTCTTAGTGGATAATGACCTCTTTCTCTCACACATTTCCCCAATATCTCATCTGCTGGCTCAGTTCAGGTAATAACTGAGGTTAACCATAGGTTAGCCCAGTATTCACCAAACTAAGTTTGCTCCGAGCAGTGTGTCCCCTGTACTAGGAGACGGAGGAGAAATTCATTGCAGATAGTTTTCGATCAGGGGCTGCCCAGTTTGGCCCACAGTTTGGGCCTCCTCTGCTTCTCCAAGAGCAACTCTCCTCTCTACTCCCAACTGTAGGGTTAGTCCAAGAGTGACTGGCATAGAGCCACCCAGGCAGCTTTTTGACTGAATGGGATTTGGCTGCATCTCTCCTCCTCTAACACCCCACTGACCACCCAGTACTACTCTCAGCCTGGTATCCAGTCTTCACCAGAGGTAGCCATTGCATCAGAAATACAGGACTCTCAGCACGGGAGTATTCCTCCCTGTGAGAGTGCCTGCGGTGAGAAGGTTGGCTGAACGGGGTGCGCTTTTGCTTCTTCCAATTCCAGGTGATTCCCAAGGACTATAAGACCATGACGGCTCTGGCTAAAGCCATCTCCAAGAATGTGCTCTTTGCCCACCTGGATGACAATGAGAGAAGGTAGGAGTCCACCTTTGGATTCTGCTTCATGCTCTTGTCTGGTTTATCGGTGGCTAGCTTGAATGCGCATCAGTGTTGGAAGTGTGCATGGAAACGTGGCTACTGAGGTGTTCGTTAATTGTAGGGGTGGGGGACAGTGCAGAGAAGCGTATTTTCTCTTTGCTCGGCTGGGTTGGCCCCATCTTTAGCTTGCTCATTCCAGAGTCATCCTCTTAATCCTCAGTTCCAACTCCTCCTCCTCCTCCTCCTCCTCCTCCTCCTCCTGTTTCATCTCTATATTGCCCAATGGCCAAAGCTTTCTGGGCAGTGCTCAGAGTTCACCAAACCGATACAACACATCACCATAAATCTTATCGAAATACAAACATTTAAAACAAAAAATTGAAAGCAGCTCAACAGCATCTAAGGAAGAGTAGCAGCCCTGTAAAAGCACTTGGGATGAGTCATTGGCTAGCCAAGTATATCTTGAAAGGCTTTGGCAGAAAGGTCCAACTTAAGCTGGTGCCAACAAGATCTCCCGGTGGATGCCAGAAGGCTTCAGCAGGGAGGTTTGGCAAGGTCTGCCTCTTCTTTCTATCCTTGTCTCTTCCTGTGCAATCCCCCCAGTTTCTGTTTTAAGAAGATGAGCTCTTTGCAGTGCAGTGACTAAGGCCAGCAGGGCTGTGTATACACTCTATAGGCGACTCTGAACCTCAGAGGAGCTGTCCGTAGTGCTGAAACCTCATCTCAAATAGGTTTGGCACCATGGATGGTTCCTGGCAGTCTTCAGAGACTAAGAGGGAAGGGTCCAGGCCACAGCTGGCCCAGTCAGGCTAATGGAAAGGGCCTTTGTTATTTATGTATTCATAAACTTCTATTCCACACTAATAGTCCCATAGGACTATTAGTTTATAACAATGAATAACTGAGTAAAATCACAATATCAATAAAATAACAATAGTAAAGCAACAATAGATGACGAAACATGATAATATACAGCTGTAAGTAAGATGTGATAAGTTAAAACAGTAAGACTATAAAAAACCCGATACCTTTAAAATTATACAGAATAAAAGTCAATTATTAAAACGTCTGTAAAATAAAGTTGTTATTGCTCGGCACCGAAAAGATTGCAATGAAGGCACCAGGTGAACTGCTCCTGGGGGGCTATTCCATAGGTGGGGTGTAACCACTGGAAAGACCCTGCTTCTGTTTGACAGCCTTCTGATCTCCTTGGAGGATGGCCTCTGAACCTGATCTTAGGGGTTGGTTAGGTACATATGGGAGCAGGTGGTCCTTCAGGAATTACGGTCCCAAGCCATTTGAAAAGGGTTTTGAGAAGATGCCAGGCAACCTTCAGAACCAGCCCCCATCTTCCAGCAACAGCTCAGGATTTCTGAACATACCAATCCAGGAGGACGGATTGGTTACTGAATCCCCCTTGCGTCATAAGCGATGTTTGAGCGTAGGTAGACTGTGGACGGGTGTAAATATTATTGGAGTGGCAAGTCTACACTGCATTTGGGTCAAACCAACCATTTTCCCTTTCGGGCTGAGCTCAGGGAAATGCGGGTTTGTGAGGGTGCAGCAGAAACTCGGTAGGCACGGGCCTGATTGGCGGGTGCCTGCGATGTCATTAACCCACTAATCCACTTCCGTTCCTTGTCAGTTCAGCAACACTCAGGTGCCAAACAAATAAATATTACACACATCACTTGACATAATTGTTAAATGACTTTCTGTAGGAAGGCAACGACAACGGTTGTCTGACGTTTGAATCAACAGTTTACATGCCCGTCAGTTACGCTTCACCTTACTGAAGAAAGTCCCAATGCAAGTTTTAGCATTGCTTATATGAGGTGTGTCCAGAAATTAACGAGAAAGATATTTTTAAAATTCTTTTATTGAAAAAATTTACAATCCAACATTGTCTCCTTCAAAGTATGCACCTTGTGAGTGCGCCCAACGCTCCCAGCGATTTTTCCATTCTTCATAGCATCCCCGGAAGTCTTCCAGTGGGGTGGCGTTCAGATCCTGCATAGTGGCTCTTTGGACATTATCCACACTACCAAACAGGTGCCTTTTCAAACAATTCTTCATCTTTGGGAAGATGAAAAGGTCACAAGGGGCCAAGTCAGGGCTGTAGGGTGGGTGGGGAAGCCCCCTGATGTGTTTTCCAGCCAAAAACTCTCCAACAACCAAAACACTGTGACTCAGTGCACTGTCGTGATGAAGGGATCCCAGTCGAGCGATCTCAGCTTGTGCCGTCGGGACACTTGTGTGGATGATAGCGCAGCTTCCCCATAAGCTTTCCTCACCATCCCAAAGTTTCTGATGCACTTTTACTCAGTTTCCCACAATTGTATCCCATGCTGCTGTCCCAAACTCACTTGCATTTTTCTTAATACGAGGCACTTGAACAGGGTGTCTCGAAAGGGAATGTCTCGATTCCGGCAGGGCTGGAATGCAACTGATCGGTGTTCTAACCTATACCTGGCACCCCACCCCATGGGACCTTGGCCAGCTTCTTCCTTTTCAGAGCCCTTCTCGAGCATAGGGGCTTCGTTCTCGTTACTGTCTGGACATATTTCCTGGGAACACTGGATGCACTCATAACCGACCTCTTCCTACAACTGGCTGCTCAGAGCAGCCCACTTGGTTTGATGGATTTCCTCCTGAGTAAGCAAGCCTAGATCCACCAACCTGCATGCATTGCCTCTTGTGAGGGGGCAGCTGGCTGATCGTCATCCTTGTAAAAAAAAGAGGAACAGTTACTAAGATTTCCAGAAACAAAGGTGGTCTTTGAATCGGAGGCAACAGCTGGAAGTACCCAGCGTAGTACTTTCGGTCAGCTGCTGCGTTCTTGTATGCAGACAGGCCGTAACAGAATACTTTAAGCATTCGGGAACCCCAGATTAGTTTGGCAGATGCTTTTCTTTTTTAAAGTGTGTGTGTGTGTGTGCGCGTGCGTGTGTGTTGTCCACTGGGGTAGGGTTGCGGGAGGGAATACTGTGTTGGAATGATTGAAAATAACCGTGGTGCGCCCTTGCAAGCCATTGGGTGTTCAGGAATCTCAGCTGGGGGAAATTGGCTGAATAAGGACAGTGTTGTGAAGGATTAAGCACCTCTCGCCTGCCCGTGCCTATTCTTCGCAAAATGGCACCTGTTCCACTTTTTCAGAAGTAAAACCAGGTTGCTGCATCTAGACCTCCAGAGAACCTCTGCTTTGCCCCCTATCCTGCCTCGGAGGTTTGTATCAGTGAGGAGCCCTGCCGTTGTGATGCTAGTGTGCCGTCAGGTCGTCTCTGACCTATGGGGACCTGGGGGTGAAGGCCCTCCGAAACACCCTACCCATGACAGCCCTGCTCAGCTCCTCCAAATTCTAGGCCGTGGCTTCCATAATGGACAACTCCCATCCCCTATTTGGCCTTCCCTTTCCTCTTCTGCCTTTGATTTTTCCCTAATGTGATTGTCTTCTCCAGGGAGTTGTGCTTTCTTATGATGAACCCAAAGAAAGCACAGCTCCCTGGGGAAGACAATCACATTAGGGAAGACTCAAAGGCAGAAGACGAAAGGGACGAAAGCATGAAGGCCTCGCTTTCTCCATTTTTACTTCTAGGGAAAGCTCTGGCTTCATTTGATCTAGGATCTGCTTGTTCCTCTTTCTGCCAGTCCGGGGGATTTGCGAGACACCATCCTTCGAGCACGTCTGTTTTCTTCTGGTCTGCCTGCTTCACTGTCCAGCTTTCACCCCCATGCATGGTGACGGGGAGTGCAATAGCTTGGACGATCTTGGCCTTGGCCTCCAGGGAAACATCCTCACACTTGACGATCTTTTCCGGTTCCTTCGTTGCTGCACCCCAATTTTTTGCAAGTAGCGCTTGGAGTTCTAACCTTGTTCGACGGGGGTGGGGGGGGGCTGCTTGAGGTGTGAGTGGAACTGAGCCACCCCTCTTGTGGCTTACGGAGGTGCTTCAGGCTTCCTTGTCCAGATTGCCGTGGCTGCTGTTACGGTGCAAAGCCCTGGTCAGGAAGGCCAAGCCCATGCAACTGTGTGAGTGGATACTTTCCACATGCAAGCTATTCCTGTGGGTCAGGGAGAATCCAGCAGGTGGTGATGGGAAAGACAGCTTGAAGGCACATCTGGGCCCGTGTGCTTACGCTCTGCATTCCTGCTGCCGCTTTCCCCCCATTCTTCCAGGCTGCCCTGTTTTAACATTCACTCCGCGGCCTGCCCTGTAATGGCAATTGCAAATGTCAGTCTTCCTCTGTATGTACCGGGATGTGGAGTGTTTTCTTCTACAGGGACCAAATGACTGGATTATTGTGCCTCCCCGAGGAAGCTCTCTCTCACTCTGTCCCCCCCTCCCCTCGTTTGGCCCATGCAGCTTTGCTTTTTCTAGACACGGAGGCTGAGAAAACAGACTTTGGGTGCAATCTTACGCCTATTTATACAGAAAAAAGCCCAGCAAAGCCCAGCCCTTCCAGCCAGCATGGGGAGTTAAAGGCCTTTTTTCTGTCTAAATAGGCATAAGATCACACCCTTAGGGGATTAAATGGAATCAATGCCATCCATAAGAAGTGGGAGAGGAGGAGGAGGAGGAGGAGGAGGATTCTACTGGCACAAACAGCAAGACTTCGTTGTGGAGGTTGCTCCGACCTTTTGCATTCAGGGCCAAGCGCAAGTGTCTTATGTCAATCCAAGAGACAGTTGAGAATGTCCAGGCTTCTTTGGCAAATCAGAGTGTTCAGGGCAGGCACGCACTTTGCACTGGGGAAGGCCTGGATCCGTTCCCCGCCTTCGCCAGATAAACAGCCAAGAAGGGGGAGTGCGTGTTGCCTGGCCAGTGGCTGCTTGCTCGGGCAGGCAGGAGTCACAGCGGCTCAAGCACAGAGGCCAAATTTTGCCCTCCAGAGTTCCTGGCCGGGCCTTATGGGTTTCCCCAGGTGGCCACATTGCTTTTTCCCAGCTGTCAGACATGTAGGGCTTCCCGCTGTATATGGAACCCTCTTCCCTGGTA